CACCACACGCAACACACAACCAGATAGCCATAGTCGGCATTTGCCGAGACGCGTCCATTGACGCGTTTTCGACGCGTTTTGATAGAACACGTCCCTTCTGGAAGCACCGGCAAATGGAGATAAAGGCAGGGATAGCTAAGGACAAGAGGCTGGTGCCCATCAAGTCAAAAGTAACCAAAAAGGTGGACAAGATTAATGCTCTAATCAAAACAGTTAAGAGGTATTCTGAAGGCTATCCTTTTAATTTTATGGCAGCTTCTACAGATAATACAGACCCAGGGTGTGAGGACTCAGGGGAAGAAGAATACTAATTCATGATAACCATATTGCGCTTTTTAGCTGTTTAATAATTCTCTTGATTGCATATATGACATCAATACTACTGTAGATATTATACCAGCTGTATAAAGTATCAAAGTTTCTCTTTATCGTGCAGGAATAGATCATTCAGTCCGAGGTTGGCAGAGGAGAACGGCCTATGGCGCGAAATGATGCGCGTGTGACAATCACGGTCACACGGACATTTGGCTGGCAGGCGTTGCCGACTCTCAATGAGAGCGGCGAGCAGCGGCGTATTTCCGATGCAGTGTCAGAAGCAAGATCTTACGGCAAGCCGCACTTGAAGCAAGTGGTGTTCCCGTACCTCGTCACGGTGATGGACGCCGATGATAGACCCCGATCCTGGGATGACGGGACCTGCGTCTGCACGGTGTCCCCCCCTTGGTTTGGACAACACGTCAAGCCTGCTAACAAAGAGCGACGAGGAAGCGCCAGCTCAGCTGAATATGAGGGTATAAGGAGTCGGAGAGTAGTCGGATCCCTTGCGGAGGGCCGCTGTATAGACTCACCATAGTCTTCCTCAACAAGTTTTACCGGATGCATGGCTCACCTGAATCGATGTTCGAGTCTCGTCAGTCCCCACTGTCCACCTTGAAGTGAACTGAGTGACATCCGAGCGTGCTGTCTCGATCAGGGCGGCCTTAGCACCAAGAAAACGGGACGCAGGAGGTTACAGATGGAAGACTAGTATAGCTCCTATTTCAACAGGGAAGTGTCAGCTGACCCCGCATACGTAGGTGGCTCTCGCAACTCGCCAAGTATCCTTGCATGGTAGTAGCCAAGGCTTCATTCCCTTAAGTACTCCAAGATGACACCTCTTCGCAAACCTTGAACTCCCCGAACTTAACTTCCCTCCCTTTTCAGCGTTCTGACTCTTGAGCACTACGCTCGACAACGAAGGAGTGGGTCCACCCGGCAACCCGACCCGCTGCTGCCGGTTAGTCTCGGCAAATCGGGCCGAGTGACGTAGATCGAAGCGCCACAGCAACCCGATAACAGAGGATGCAACCCCAAACGACCCCGGGCTCAGGGGGCGGGGCATGAGGGAAAAGGGTACGTAGGACTTCACCTAGCTTCACCTACGATGATGAGGGACGATCCCTTCATGTTGTTGCCTGTTGTAGTTTTGATATCCATCGTCCAGCTACAACGGCTCAGACGAGCAGGTGTGCAGAACGGTTGATCCGAAGTTACAGAGGGAGATTGGAGTACTCATTGAATCTGGGGTTCGCGAAGGTCGACCGGGGTAAGCGCGCGACATCATAGACGCGGACCATACCAAACGTTGCCTGAATTTTGCCGCATAACCGGCCTCTGAAAAGGGGTTGCAGCCTCCGCACACCATTATAAAGGTCGGCTCTCCTTTGACCTTCGGGCACGAAGGCAGCCCCGTCTTGCGCTCCTCCGCCATCGTTCCTGTACGGCCTGCCAGCCATGTTAACGAAACTGAGGAGCCTCTCCGGGAGGCGTCTGTATTATACGGTCAACTTTGTGGCTGGGATTGCGATCTTCTTGTAAGTATTTGCAGCTCACCCAGCTATTACCAGGTCCGCTTATGAACCGGTTGTCAGCTTCGGATATGACCAAGGAATGATGGGTGGTGTGAACACTGCCCCAGATTACGTCGAGACTATGAAGCTTGGGTATTCGACGTATGTCTCGTAGTCCGTTTGCGCGAGCGTTGCCTGATCGGGTTATCTAGATACGAAGGACCAGATGAAGGCTACGTCGTAACGATCACGGAACCCACTCGTCAGGGAGGGATTGTCAGCAGTAAGTTATTGACTTGGACCCTTGAAATACGGCGAGACTCAGTCGACGATAGTATACTACCTTGGAACTTTGATCGGATGTCTCATGGGGGGCATACTTGGTGACAGGGTCGGACGGCTGAAGACTATGTTACTGGTAAGAGGTCATATTTCCTGAGGGAGACCTTTGTCACCCTTACCTTTTCGTCAGGGAGGTCTCTGGGTTATGTTTGGCGCTGCGCTCCAGTGCTCGGCCCAGAATATCGCATGGTAGGTCTCGCAAGGAAGTAACTGTCGCAATGCACTAATCCTATGCAGGATGCTTTGCGCTCGAATCATTAACGGGATTGGAACCGGTTATCTGAACGCTGTAGTGCCTGTATGGAGCGCTGAGGTAAGCCAATGTGACTTGGCGAATCCTCTCTTCACCTGCTTACCTTTGCGTGTAGGTTTCTACCCATACTTCAAGAGGTAACGCTCTCGATACCTCCAATGAAGACCAATAGCTTACGAATGGAACTTAGGTGCTTTTATCGCCCTGGAATTTACTCTGAACATTTTCGGAGTAGTCGTCGCGTATTGGCTGGAATTCGGGCTTGGATATATTGGTGATGGCAGGACGCAGTTCCGCTGGAGGGTACGTGTGTACTTTCTTGGGGACTTACGGAGCCTTACCGAAACGTCTACAGTTCCCTATCGCATTCCAAATTATCCCGGTAGTCATTTTCATGGTGAGCTATAGAACCCGAAGGAAGTCGGTGACGCACACTTACTGCGACTTCGTAGCTATGCCTTTCGTTCATGCCCGAGTCTCCTCGTGAGTTCCTCGCACCCAATCAGCACAGGACGTCATGCCTGACCTCGGATCACCATCTTACTTCTATTAGGCTGGCTCGTCAAGGTTGGACGAACGGAGGAAGCTAGGGACATCCTCGGGCGTTTACGGGAGGGCAGCGGAGGCCCGGAGGAGACCGCGCGTGCCGACGCAGAGTTCGAGGATATCATGGAGATCGTCAACCTCGAGAAGAAGCATTCCAAACGGAATTCGTACTGGGCTATGTTCTGGGGCATCGGTCAGTTGATGTCATGTCTCTATCTCGTCCGTGCAGATCTCTGACCGGATCTTCAGACTCCGGGGACCTCCACGTCGCAAGGCGGGTTCAATTGTCGGTCTGGCTTCAGATCGTCCAAGAGTGCGTACCTAGTGATATGTCCTGTTTGGAGCGTTGGCTGATCAATAGCTGACCTCGGTCCTTCGCAGATGGGTCGGTATCGCTGCGATTACAGTTTATGCGCCTACGATTTTCGCCGAAGCTGGTTATAGCTCCCGTAAATCTCAGTGGTTATCTGGTCTCAATGATGTGAGCACCTACAGATGTGCAATGAGCTCAAACTAACCGCGAACACAGGTGACGTACATGCTTGCCACCCTCATGGCTGTTGTGACCATCGACAGATGGGGACGACGTGTCGGCCTGTGGTGGGGCGCCGTTGGGCAGGGGATCTCATTGATCCTCGCTGGTGCCTTCTCCCGCCTCCTCAAGGACCACCCTGAGAACGCTTCTCAGTACGGCGGAGCCGCAGCCTTCTTCGTGTTCCTGTACACCGCTATTTTCGGCGCTACCTGGCTGAGCATCCCGTGAGCGTCCCGAAATGGTGGACGTCCGACAACATACTGACGCTGACTGCTGTGCAGATGGGTGTATCCTACTGAGACGTTCCCTCTGGAGGTCCGCGCAAAGGGGAACGCATGGGGTGTCGTGGGCTGGAGTATCGGCAACGGTTGGCTGACCCTGCTTAACCCCGTCATGTTCAACGCTATCCAAGAGGTGAGTGCAGAGATCGCCCGACGCATTCGCGATCTTACTCAAGTTTGTTCCCAGAATACCCTACACATCTTCGGCGCAGTTAACTTCCTCTCCATTCCGATGGTCTGGGCACTGTACCCAGAGACCGCCAACCGCACGTTGGAGGAGATGGATCTCCTATTCGCTAGCAAGAGCCCGTGGGTCTGGGACGAGGAGGCCCACTTCAAGAAATTGAAGGAGGCCAATCCGCAGGTTGAGCACACGCATGCGCTGGAAGGGAAAACGGCCGCCACGGCTGCGCACATAGATTCGAAGGTAGACGGAGATGAGAAGCAGTAGATTTGACATACATGCTCCTGTTTCGTGTACGCTGTTTCTGGACTTGCTATACCATAGTGGAATCTTGTGTCTTGGGACGGGTAGCGGAACGCTGCATCACGCCAGTCTTGTGTCAGAGAGAAACGGAGTAGCCGTCGATGAATTTGAGTCCCCTGATTGCCATGCGCAACCAGGAGCTCCGACACCTCATGCGTAGGAGATCCACTGGCGATCGCCTGTAACAGGAGAATTTGAAGCGATACAGGAGACTTTCATGACACTTCCCGTGTCGCAATTGGGACGAGGTGCTAATTCAGTCCTCGCATAGTGCATCTCCAGTCCACGAAGCCGATACCCTTGCAATGAGACGAGGGAACATCCTGATTCTAGGGCGCATATAGTCGCTGTATGCATTATGGGTTCCAATTGCGGATCAAAGCAAGACCGCCCATCCGCGCATCCTGTATGCGTTCCGCTCCCGACGGGGTGGGGGAGCATCGTTCACAACCGTACGCCTCCACGCCCGTATGGGTGGGGGGAATCATGAATAATGCGCCCTCCATCGAGCGAAGCAGAACGGATGCGTATGCTCAAGGAAGACCTAATTTCAAATGAAGCACCGTCCTCCAGTAATAATACGAGAAATTCAATGCAGCGTTCAATACGAAGGGACGCACCTGCCATGTAAACCACCCTGCGTTCCACAGAGACGAGAAGCGGACCCGGTGAGATATGCCTCTTGCTCAACCCGTGTTCCTGTGGATCTTCCCATTGCAGCTATGCTGTATATAAAATCGAAGGAAAATTAGGCATAAATCCTGGATGCAACGTCCACGAACGACCCATCCAGCGGAGAGATGGTTGAGCAATAAAAGGCAGAAAGCCGTTCTATCAACTTTCCCTAATGCCTGATTCCAAGACCAGCATTCGCTCGGCGGTGATGCCTTGCGCAAGTCGTCAACTTTTGGCGAAGGCTGCTCTCGGATTTCATTTCGGGCAGTGACCGTGTCACATGTGACATGTATTCCTTCTTTCCCTCGTCGAACTTGAACTTGTGGCGCTCCCCTGAGCTTATTCAACGGTCGACCTATTATCTCTCCTCCGTAATGGAAATTCAGAGTACCCTCTGACGCTGAAAGGATGCTAGTCTTGTTCAGGGCGGAAGAGAGGGTCGTCCTCGCCGTTTCTGCCTGTCTCAGCTCGGAATTTGTAGGCGGTTAGCGCCTGTTTTCGTGGCCGAAGGGGTGTTTGTTGATCCATCTGGCAAGACGGGACGCGCTATCCTATACTCTGCTAGAACTGACTGGCTCGGAAGGACGCTGCATGCGAAAGGTGGCCCGGTGCAGCGCGCAGCACTGACCTTGGGTGGCATCTGCTGGTTGAACTGGCGTACCCGGTCGTCATGTATCTAACTTCTGCTAGAAGAGTGCTATGGGCTGTTGAAACCGCTTCAATCAGCATGACGTGTGCTGGTTTCATGCCACCCGTGATTACCTGTCGCTCATATAGGCAAACTTCAGAAGTTATTCTAGTCTCGGGTCCCCAGCTTCTAGTATAATCATGAAGACAGACTATGGGGATAGACCTGCCCCTTCCACGCTTATGATAGAGGTTGTTATGGAAGGTAGGCAAGTGCGTTGTGTTCCACGATACACTGGTGCATGCTAATATCCCCGTTGCAGGTAACTACCTTGATCCTCGTTGACTGCGGTGTATAAGCCTCGGTACTCTATCTGCGTCTTGACAATTCCGTGGCTGCTCTCTCGGACTCATGAAGGCGTTCTGTTACGCGTTAACGCGCAGTTGTAAGGATCACCGGCCCGCTTCAGGGCCTGAGTCTGAGACCTAGGCTCTCTTTTCTATGTGTCTGCACTGAATTGCGCTTCACTGTGCGAGCAAGACGCGTCCATCTGCGCGTCCCGAGTGCTTTCCTTCTCCCCCTCCCCCGCACGTGATCGAGAAACGCCTCGAGTCGCATTTCCTTCCTTATCGATGGATAACAATGTTATCGATGGCCATGAGTTGGTTTGGCCATCAGCGGTTTAGCTCGTGTTGCTCAAGGTACCTTGATAGTCTGCGTCGGACAGACTGATAGGGGATTGCGGGCACGGATCTATGGCACAAGCCAAGTGCTCGGCCGCTTGTGCTTCTTGAGGTGAGGGAGGCCATCTACTTGGGGATCTACCGATCCTCAGTCAATATTTCGGAAGCTTATCTGTGAGATTGGCTTTCAACCGATGGTATGTGTGATCGCTTGCTCTCCTTAGGGTGATTAATACTGAACGCCAGCGTAAACAGGGCCTGCGACTAAACAAAAGGTACAATTGGCTTTCGTAACGATCTAGTCGAGTACTTGCACACTCTGCTAAGAACGACTGTGCTCAGACCGAGAGCTATGCCTTCGGCAGGACTCAAGAAGGCTGCCAAACGCCTCCAAGGCGCGTGTTGGCTGCAGACCCCTCGAGCACCTGTTTCTGCCTGCCCCGCGGCCTGGCGAACTGGACGGGGAGAACTAGCTGGACTCCGGAGAGCCGCCATAATTGCGCCATCCTATCTAATGGGTGAAGGTCAGCTTTGCCTCGAGGCCCGCATGTGCAGGAGCTCGTGACTCAATTCGAAGTTCATCAAGCAGATTCCGATTTTCCTTCCTTGGATAGAAATCTTCCTGCCGGGCATGGAGCGGCTTGCGCTAACCGCTGGAAGCAAGATAAGTGCGTAGCGTCCAATGATCCATCCTCGTTTGCGGGGAAAGCTGACTGGGCGTTGGCTTAGATTAGATGGGCAACTCCTCATAGTCGGCCCGGGGTTACTTCGCGCGAAACCTGGCTGGCTAGGAATTCGCGCCGGGAGTACCGCAGAGCACTCCGCAGGTGGGGGACGGCAAGGCGATGGAACGCGCGCACCACAATGGGGGCACTCCATGGACTGTCAGAGAGGCGCCTATCCGAAGTTCATTTCGACGGCGACGCTGGTGGGTGGCGAACAAAATCATGATGGAACGCGCGGGCTTTGTTAACACCATCAGTTTCCAGAATCGGGGTGGACGTCTCTTCTGAGCGTTGGAAAGCAGACCCCTGCATGAGGACGTGTCAGAGGATGGGCGTCTGGGGACGCCGGACCAGGTATGTATATGAGTGGCCAGCGGGGTGGACCGCGAGAGCTGATATACGGCAGCAGTCAGCGAAGCCGATGGGCAGAAGGCTTGGAAGAGCTGCGTTCAGCTGGTTCCTGCTGGTTCGGGCTTAGCGGTTGTTCGCAGCTCACGGAGCGACATCGGCGGAACTGTTCATCAAACTGTGTCTATAGATGGGCGTCCACTGGAGACACAGCTTGTCGTCACTCGCGGTTTCTGCTGGGCACTTCTGGGAGGCATTCCGGGTGACAAACACGTGTGCCGGGGGCACTGCTGAGGCACAAGGGCGTTCGGGGCAGAGGGTTCGTGTCAATCTGGTCGCTGCCTCGCTTGCGGAATATCGGCTCGGACCTAACGGGAGATATGATATGGCAGTAGCTGCGGTAGTAATTGTTTCATTTTGTTTGTAGTGACGACTAGCGGAGTTTGAAACATTTGTAGTCTGACTATGAATTCTCCATTATTCGGAAATTTTCATTTCAAGGAGCGCAACGTGCGTAAGAGAAGCGCTAGCCCAGCCAGGCTTTATTGGAGCGACCTTTCCGCCGAATTCTGTTCTCTCCATCAACCCTAGCGCGCATCTCTCCCTTATAACCGCTGTCCTAGCGGCGTACTGCTTGCCTTTTGCCAGCTTTGCACTGTCTCGTCTGCAGCGCGAGAACTGACGTCGGTCCATGCCCTCTACGCTCAATCTCAAGTTCAAAGTCGGTGGCTTCATCGGCGACAGCGACGGCAGTCACTTACTCTTGCTTAGGGACACAAATCCTTCGTTGCTTTTAGCAATCTTAGCGACGCCGATGCTCTGACCAAAACTTGGAAGGTCGGCAGCCAGTGCATGTGATGCGCGTCAGGAGCTCATACCGCTTTAGGTCTGTACGAAGGTCGCGAGCTACCTCGAGCAGGGTCAGCGCTTGGAGAACTTGAGCTGGAGGCTATGGCACCTCCAGAACCTCATCGTCGACACCGACAATGCCAAGAGCAAGCGGGAGTTCAAGAAGCTCTCCAAGCATATGGGGGACAAGCTGGACAAGGAGAAAGGAAGGTGCGTAATCCCGGCTCATTGTCGCGTCCGAGTTGCGCTAACTCCGTCCAGGAGTATCGAAGAACTGTCGGCTCCGGGCTTCAAGCGCAACCAATCCACCGATCTAATCCAGCAACGCGCGGTCGAGAAGGAGCGTCAGCGTGAAGCTACCCAGAATGCCAAGCCCGGCGTCATCAAGCGCATGCAATTCACCTTCAGCGTCGACCAGCCGTCGGGAGGGGCGTCCTCCGCCCCTGTCAAGAAGCCGGACTTCAAGCCGTCCGCCGAGTTCAAGGACACCACCGGACGACGAGGCCGCCGGGCTGCGGCCCAGATACACGACAGCAACGACTCTACGGTCTCGGAATCCAGAAAGGACGATACCCAAGAGCAGGATACCTCTTCACCCCCTTCCCTCCGGTTCCCGTCCTTGTTCACGAGCGACTTTGGGCCGGCTGCTTTGCTGTACCCTACCCCGACCTTGTCCACTTCTCTCAATTACGGCGAAGGTGTCAACCAGAACACTTCCTCCGACAGCTTCAGCATCGCCCGCCCCACCATTCAGCTTGCTTTAGACGACTTTTTGAATTCTATGGATGAATCTGATAGCCCTCCCTCCTGGTCCAATGCCTCCCAGGCGGACGGGACTAATCAGATGCAGGACGTCAACATGAACGGCGTCGACCAAATGAAGACCGACGACACTGACGTTATCATGAACGCTATGAGCCTCTCTCTCCCCCTCCATTCTCAGTCCAACAACAACGAGATCCCGCAGACCGTCTCCCCCTCCAAGATCGGCCCCAATTCGGGACCTGAAATGGCCCCGAGCCCCAGCAGGCCTTCTCTCACTATCAAGACGCAACCTGTAAACAACGCCCGTTCTTCAGGCCCTAGTGCCACCGCTACTAGCCCCGCGGTCCTGAAGAACAACAACTCAGCGCCCGGGGGTGTCAAGGCTGAATGTTCCAACTGCGGCGCCACGCACACGCCTCTCTGGCGAAGAGGGCTCAACGACGAGTTGAACTGTAACGCTTGCGGCCTTTACTGCAAGCTGGTAAGTCATCGTCCTTGGTTTGGGTGTGGCGACGGAGCCAACTGATGCCCTTGGGCGTACAGCACAAGCGCCCCCGCCCTAAGGGTATGCGCAACAACCATGGCGAGGGTCGTTCCCAAGCCGCCCCGAGGCAGGACACTCAGGAAGTAATTGGTTAGTTGATCGGCGATCACTAATACCGTCGTTCCATGCTGATATGTCCTAGCGCAATGCTACAACTGCCATACCACTGCCACCCCCTTGTGGCGCAAAGACGACGAGGGCAAGACTGTCTGCAATGCATGCGGTCTATAGTGAGATGCTATGATATCCGTCATATGGTCTGATGCTAAATTTTTCTCAGCTATAAATTGCACGGTTCCGCTCGCCCCATCTCGATGAAGTCCGATGTTATCCGAAAACGCTCTCGCCATGACGCAAGGCGGGTTGGAACCAGTTCGTCCGATACTCCCCCCTCGGCGAGCCCGGGCGCCAGTCGACGGGCCTCCCCCTCCGCCGAACCCACGCTCGCCCCTGATTCCACGACACAGATGTCGTACGCTGACTATGATTATCAGAGCGCTACCCAGTCAGAGCTCATGGGAGCGCTGGGCCAGGACACCAGCCAGAGCGTCAGCTACACGCTGCAGGGCACGTACACGTCCGGTTACACCTACTCCGTGTACCCGGGTCCGTATCACCCGGACTTTTTATCGAAGAAGAACCAGCACTTCGCGTCGGATCCGTTCAACTTTTCCGGCGACACCTCGGACGGTGAGAGCACTGGCACGGAGTCGCGGTCGAGCAAACGCCGCCGTATGAGCGACGGCTCTGCAACCGAGCCTCCGTCCTCTGCGACCTCGTACACGTCCTTCACGGACAGCTACGGTGGCTCCCAACAGTCTCACTCGCCCCTGCCGTTCGCGACGCGGCCGCTGGACTTCAACTATGGGAACTTCTCGTCGTACGGTCTGATGCGCGGATCGGGTAACAGTATGTTCTGGCATCCCCCCATGCTCCCGCCCGATAGCTCACCCCAGTTGATTCACCCTCCCATGCTACCCCCTGAAGAATCGCCCATGGATTACCTGCACCCGCCCATGATGCAGCAGGAAGAGGACAATCTGTTCAACACCTACCTGCACCCTCCGATGTTGTTGCCCGACGACAACAACAACAATTCCATGGGTTCAATCCACCCGCATCCGCCGATGCTGCCGCAAGAGTGGTCAAGCCAGAACGACTACTATCAGTCCAACGGCTCTGGCAACGACAACGCGATGCACACGTACTAATCTTCGAGTCGCGCACCTGTCTCGGTCGTCTCCGCAGTGCGGCGGGCGCGGGTTTGATGTCTGCATGGACTCTGCATGGACTCGCAGTTTCACGATCTCATCCTCATTGGGGTTTCGATTGCTTTAGAATTTCCTGCTCTCGCATCATCCGTCCTTGTCGCATTGTTTTCGGGGCACATCGCATACAGAATCGCAGACCAGCAACAAGCATTTTCCTTTCCATTTCCTCGGCAGAATCATTTCCTCTCTCTTCATCCGCCAGACTTAGGATAACTATCATGATTCCGTTCCGCTCTACCTCTTCCTTCATGCCTTGCTATCAGTCTCCCTAGGTTGTATGACGAATGCTTCGCGAAGGGCTTCGCGTTTCAAGCCCCACAAATATATATCTCTACCCATTTCTCTCTGCTTTTCGAATCTTTGTCATCTTCAACCTTTCCGTGCATTTTCCTTTCTCCTGATCAGAGTCTGTTCATAAGATGTAGCGTTATTCAGTCCCGTCCTGTAATGCATTATCCTTATGTATTCGGGTTCGACGTTCCATATCCTGTCGTAGCTAAATTATAACAGTAACTTCTGCTCTTTTCTCTTGAACTATTCCATGATACGTGTGATGCTTTCGCCCCGGTGCTCAGCTTTAATTTCCGAGCATACAAGTACAATTGCGTGGCAACATTCATCCAAGAAGAAAACGAATGCCTATACAGAGTTCATACAACTCGCTAGAGCAACGCCGAGCAGGGCTAGGTTTGAACTAGGCGGCGATTATTATGTACCGGTGACCATCGAAGTCTAGTCCCAGGGGAAGAAGGGGCAGCTAGTACGGACGACCTATGAGACCAAACCTATTGGATGTACAGGCGTCTCGTAAATGACGCTTCTTCTTCATGGGGCACCGTGCCCGATTTAAATCCCGTGTTCGGGCTGAGACCCCAACGAAGCCGCGGGAGTAGTTGGTGTGCGTTCCTGGTGTAAACGGCCTATAATTATGTCTGCGATCGTTCACGGTTGGTCAGTGTCAGCGGGTGTGGTAGTGGGAAGGGGGTATTCAGAAGGCGTTACGTACCGGGGAGGACAAGGAGTCATCGAGAGGGTCTCGGCGCCGTGATCCCGCGTCCAGGGCTTCTGGATGCAGATGTGAAGCTGCCTATCGACCTGGCATTCGTGACATGTCTTCACGGTGGGACTCGTCATCCAAGAAGCAGGCTAAAGAAGGGAAACCCGAGAGAGAGGTTGGAGAAGGGTTAGGTAAGAGGAGAACTGCATCATGGGGTGCAGAGTCATTCGGCTCGCACAGGCGGCGCACTTGGTGGGGAGTCATTAGTCGGTTTATGTCCATGAAATGTGTATGATTAGCTCTCGGACGTAAGGCTGAATGGCGAAGACGCTGGCTTGCGTGCGGGAAGTGATGCCGATCCACTGGCAGCGTCGAGACTTCCGAAATACCAATGGTTTGACGGAATCTTGTTTGGGAGGAAGAAGGACGCACTAGTTCACGGAACGGCCGAGTGGGTGCGTATCTATTGCAGCAGCTGGGCCCAGTAGCGCATCGTCAACAAGAAGCACCCATCTTGCACAGGAGGACAGCCTAATTTAGATTCTATGGAGGTCAGTAGACCTGCCGCTCTTTCTTTGGAATGGGAATAGCGCAAGGTGACCCACGATCTAGCTTCGCTCTGTTCTCGGTGCCTGCATCGGGACATGTGAGCAGCCAAGCAAGGAATACAAGCCAATACGAAAGGGACAGCCGGGTGGCCATGCTATAGGGTGTACATGATACGGGGTCAATTGTGTCGCGTATGCAACTCGAAACGTGTGGCCGTGTGGGTCCGTATTGAAGGCCCGGCCCGCTATGATGATGATGAACTGCCAGTGCATGTCCGCGTTCATTGTACCAAGGTCCAATTCAGTGCTAGTGCCGCGCAATGACTTGGGCCGGGGCTGAGACAAGTCCAGGACGATCCCCGCAGTCGAGACGACGGGCAGCGCGTTCCAGGGTGAGGTGCAGACGCCAAGGATGGCGCTAACGCTGCGGTCTCCGAGTTTGCCATGACTCGGGAGTGAATGGTCGAAAGCCCTCGCTTATGTATTCACAGAAGACAAGATGTGGCCTCAGATTCCGGAATAGCGACCTTCTGATACCCCCTTGCCTGCATTGCGTCGTGCAAGTAAGCCTCTCTAGAATACGAGGTGAGAGAACACGACCTTGCGTTGATATGATAGTCGACGATGTACCCACACTTTACAGGTATCTGGAGCCCGGAATCAAAGTCGGCAAGTCGGCGTGTTAGACACCCTGTTCCGCCGAACAGGATCCATATGCCTGATAGCCTTGTACATGCACCCGCGGTAGATATGGAAGCCCGTTGCTTTGATCTATCAGCGTTTCTGCGCTGTTACAGAATACCGATATCTCTTCCCGTGGTGACTTGGAGCGTTCTTCCTACACTCAGGATAAGTATTGACGGCGTGGTTTCTGCCTTTACCTTCGCTTGGAATTTACTATCCCTTCAGTTATCCGCTGAGAGAGGTACATCATGGTAATACCGGAAGACACATGTTGAGTTCCAGAGTGGACGCCGCGCGAGCGTGCCACATCTGATCATGAGCGTCAGCCTCCAGGCGCGAAGTCCGTTTTCCCACGGCAAACTGGACGTCGATTGCGAGCATCCTTGTCGACGCGCAGCCAGCCTTACTACGACGAACACCGGCGAGCCTGGCCGCTGTTCAGGATGCATTTCCTTTCCGTTCTTTTCCCTTTATTCTTTCTTTCCTCTTCCCTGGCGTCTGTCACGGTCTACAGCCAGATACCCTTGGCTGGGACGACGACTGCTGCGGCGGCGGCGGCGAACTACACCGGTGCTGCAGCCTACGATCCAACCGTATTACAGGCGCCTGCGGTGCCCAGTGATGTGCCGACAAACTTCCAGATTCAACTTCAAACGAACGCGGCCAACGTCAATGGATTGTCGATACCGCAGTCCGGGGCCTTCTGGGGCTTTTCGATAGAAATGTCCGTCGTGACACAAGTCAGTGAGTACTATTTCCGTTTCAATCAGCTACCGGAGAGTTCGGGCCTTTGTGTTTCATCTCGCGTCGCGTTGGTGGGTGGATCCCCTACTCGCGGGAGGGAGGAAGAGCTATCCGGGATATTACTGGAGAATTGTTGCGCAGCCGAAATGTATGGGATGGGAGACTGCAGTCAGCGAGATCTGCACACATATGCCCATGCTTGGCGTAGGGCTCCCAGAGGAATGTCATGATCTTCCACTGGCGTCTTCCGGAGTGCTGAGTGAAGAGCTTCCGAAGAATGAGGTCCATCGGAAGCGAGAGCGCGCGAGTGGAATGCAGGATGGGGCCTCGGGACCCCTGCTTTTTGGGCAATCGCAGGGACGGAAGTCCGGCATGCTATCTGCATTGTCGCGTTTCTGCCAGCCTCGGGCTTGCCTGCGCGCTCATGGTCAATGAGCAAGATGCCGTCGATATTTTTTCGGTGCCTACCCCATTATCGCTCCGACTTCGCGTTACGGAAATGTACTGATGCCTTTGGCTTCCCTTAGTCGGTCTCAACAGGTATGTCTGGTTTTGAGTCTGATTGCATGCGCCTGACGCAAATATCCTCGACAGCACTTTCATCCAAGTGCCCTTCCTAAATCTTATGGCCAACATCAAAGATCGAGCTGGCCGAGTACACGTCCGTGTCGGAGGAAACACCCAAGACTACGCTTACATGGTCGACAGCATCGATAAAGGGCTAGTCATCCAGAAAGACAAGGGACTGACAACGAACCCGGTAAGTCGCCCTGGGACTTCGTAAATTGTGGTGCTAATACTCATCGACTGATGATAGACGGATACTCCTACGTTGATGTGGACTCCCGAGCTGATTTACATGCTTGCTAACGTGACAGCTCTCGCCAATGTCAAGTGGTATCTCGGTACGTTGCGAGTCCGCGTATGTGGATTCAGGTGGGCTGAGTTGGGATCAAGGTATACCTTTCAACGATACCTCGAACTGGCGCTTGCAAATCGCCGAAATCGGCGACAGTGTATTGGGCGATAATTTGATTGGCCTGCAAGTTGCCAACGAACCCGATCTTTACGGCCGGTAGGCTCTCTTCACATACAATCTCCTTTCAGACTTGTACCTTACACGGGGTTCTCGCAGGCATGGACACCGTCCTCTGACATACAGCCCTTCTGATTACTATGGCGAATTCGGTAATCTCGTGACGGCTCTGGCAGACGACAACAATGTGAACAACAAAGCGAACCTCATTGCCCCTAATCTGGCGACAGGCGACTGGATCCCGGAGAACGTTTGGGACACGGGCTTCCTCACCTCCTACGCAAACAGTCTGGGAGCGCTCGCGGTAGAACAGTAAGCACGTTCATCTGCAGCGATAGTGTACTCGTCTGACCATCCACCAGCTATCCCGCCGACAACTGTCTCGCCGTATACGGTGGCAATGGCTCGCCTGTGGACCCCCAGACTGAGTTCCCGAACTACCTCAACCATACCTCGGGCTACTCCATCGTGCAGCCGTATATCAACTCGACCCAGATTGCGGTGTCGATGGGCAAGCCGTTCTTGATGATGGAGACGAACACCGCCAGCTGTGGTGGGTTCCCCGGGATCAGCGACAGTTTCGGGGCGACGCTCTGGGCACTGGACTATGGGCTCCAGATGGCGTACTACAACTTTTCGGGGGCGCTGCTTCATGTTGGTGGGCAGAATGTATACTATAACGTAAGTTGTGCGTTTATGCTTCCAAATCAATGTGATGCTGACGAGAATTATTAGCCCTTCACTCGTGCGTGTACACCTTTTGTGTTCCCGTATGGTAAACTTGACGAACATCTGTAGCTCCCCCGACGAATCAGTCGACGTTCCGCCAGTGGACCGTCGGCTCAACGTACTACGCCGCTCTTGTCACTGCGGAGGTCTTCGGTTCCTCCAACCAGTCGCGGATCGTGGACCTCGGCGCCAATAACAACAACATGTACACTCCCGCATATGCCATTTACGAGAACGACGCGCCTTCCAAGGTGGCGTTGTTCAACTATATCACCGACCCCACTGGCGCAACCGCGTATACTGCCGGCATCCAATTCGCGGGAGGTCAAGTCCCATCTTCGGTGAAAGTGAAGTAAGTTGTGCACGGGATTTTTAACGGTTGCGTTATCTTGACACTTCGTACCAGATACCTTGTTTCGCCGTCAGTGTCCGAAAAGAAGAACATCACGTGGGCTGGCCAGGTACGTATTGGGTGGCGCTGGCGATCGTAAATTAGTGTGGCTGATGGTGCTTTTAACAGACGTTCGGAGACACCCTGTCTTCGGACGGTCGTTTGCAGGGCTCGGAAAGCGTGCAGACCATCAACTGCGACCAAGGGAACAACGTCTGCAATGTCCCCGTACCCGCACCTGGCTTCGCGCTCGTCTTCCTTTCCGACTCTGCATACAGCGACTCCGCGCCCTCCACAACGCAGACGTTCTCCACGACCGCTGTGACAAAGAGCATCAATACCGCGACCATCGCGTCTAGCGTCTTGGCTACGAGCAATGGGCACAGCGGGTCCGACCGCAAGTTGGGCAGCACGAGTAAGGGGAGCAGTGGTGCCGTCGGTATGGGGGCCCGGGTTCCTGGGGCTATGGCCCTGCTTGCCATGGCGGTGGGCGGCATAGTTGTCGGCCGTGCGCTCGTGCAGTGATGTCTTTGGTGTGCGCTCGGACGTTTGCAGATAATTTAGTGAGAATCCTATACTTAGTTCTTGGGGATGTTAATCAGCAGTAGCAGCCTTATACCATAACTCCATTCTTGTATCGCGAAGATATTTCAGTTGTATACATACCGCACTATTGGACCGAACTAGGCGAGAAAGTAAGCACATTCGATTTTCGCAGCGATGGTGCTGAAGTCGATTGCTGACACTCTGCCCCATTAATATTGTCCGCTTTCCTCGACGTGCGTCTCAGTGATCACTGCTAAGCGTCAAGCGCCAATCCTGGGCACTGGCTCTGTACACGCCTGAACTTCATCCTCGTGATCCACACCTACACATCAACCACCTCCCGTCGTCGTCAAGGGAGTGACTATAGGATCCAGCCATGCAAATGTAGTCACGGTAGTGTTGAAGGAGAGTGGTCTTGACAAGTTGATTATCACCGTGGCTGAGTTTTTGTAGCACTAGATGTTACTGATCAAAGGGAGGGTTGGCTGCCTCGTATAACTTCTATCGGTAAGGTGCCGCTAATGATTGCCAAGACATGGATGGATTTCGTCGAACTTGATGTTTAATACAACGTGGATCGGGACCGTCAAACACCCAAGTACAGTATGTCAGAAGCGCGCTGGATTTTCCGTCCTCATGTTATCTACAGAGCTCATATTGCCGCCTCAGTTCATTTCGAGCTCCTCGAAGGTAAGGAAGTGGCCACCAGCTTCGCATTTGTAACCATTTTCGGCCTTTTGCCATGCGAACCCCTGCGGACACGTTCTACCCAATTGTGCTGCCTTCTCTTTGATCAAAGCCTGCATATCCGCGTCGGCAACAGCGGGGGCACTAGAGATGGTAGGCTTGGGGGCCCCGAGGGTGGCTGGCTGGCTGTCCTGAACGGCGGAGGCACTGGGAACGGCGGGCTTGTCGTTATGCTCCCCCTGTCTTGCTTGCTTGCTTTCCCCCCTGACTCGTTTCTCCTCGCCTGCCTTGCTTCTCCGGGCTTCATCTCTAACCCGCTTCTCCTCGGCCTTTGCTTCACGATCGTCCTCCATCCACTTCTTTGCGTCCTCCATCCACTTTCTTGCCTCATCTCTCGCCTGCTTCTCTTCTTCCTCCTTCTTGGCTTGTTTGTCTGCCTCTTCTTTCGCTTTCGCCTTTGCCTTCAACTCAACGTCTTCTTTCTGCCAGATAGCTGAAGCTTCGATAGACAGGGTGCGGAGAGTACGAATGGTGCAGTACTCGGCAACGTGGAACGCGATGTACAGGTGCGATCCTCTGCCTACGCGAACGTTCGGAGAAATGTCTTGATTTTCGATGTAGTGGCTCCACTGGTCTCCCCCCGTGTTGCTCTTGATGGCGAGGTTTGTCGAGAGACGCAGTGCTTCCTCATGCTTGATCATTCGCGGGGCGTACTCATCAAGGCTTCCCTTGGTATAGATACCAAGGTCGACACCATACCCACCAGCACCGGTGATAATAGTGTCGGTGCGGAGCTGATGAGTAGTGAGGATGACATCGGTCTGGATGGTGGAGTTCGCCGTGTCGAAGGTAGTCGCATATTTTATGAGAACGCTGAGTCCAAGCAGAGTTGGCCTGTTGTCGTCAGGAGTAGGCACTTCTACGAAAGCCGTCCATGTTCCCTGTGACCCAGGAATCCTGCCGAGTGCAGATGCGGGGTCATGGAAGCGACCGTACGTATAGAGCAACTGCTTCTCGTTGTCTTCACCATGCTCTGGCGGATAGGTCGTGAATGGACCTTCGCCGCTAGCTTCCCTCACAGTGAACACGCGACTGTTTTGTGCCTGACCGGACCCGCCATGAGCGCCGTCACCGATGGACGCAGGGACAAGTAGTGTGCCGTTAGGTACTGCTATGAATGTAAGGAAGGATTTCAGTGTGAGCATAAGGACTGATTCGTCACCGTAGGTATAAGCGCCACTGTGTACCGCGTAGAGAGCCTGCGGAACGACGTTGCCTGGTCGACGCCTGTGAGATGAGTGTGCAAATCATGAAGAAGATAGCCCACCGAACGTCGCGATTGGAGCTATAGACGACATGAAGACTCAGTCGGGTGAGTTGTTGGAACAATGTCAGTGCACATGTACGTCTTTTATACTGCTTTCTCATTCCCTTCCTGGATATATGGTCGGCGGCGCGAAAAGGCCGAGCTCTGACTGAGCCGTTGTATCCCAAGGAGCCAGCTGACACATTGAACCCTAAGGGTCCAGCTGATACATTGCATCCAAAGTGTATATCGAATGCCAACGAACATTGTTTTGCAGACGTCGGACCCTGGTCGTACACGAGGTGCTGTTCTACTCCCTACCCTTGAATTGCCTTCTCTCCAAAACAGGGATAGTGTGGAACGACCCACTCTCCCAAACTTTCAGACCAACACTGAATCCGAAGGAACCGTTGCTCAGCAGGTATCTGTCTCGTCCCACCGACGCGGCTCTGCTCGTACACGAGGTCAGTGTTCCATTTCACTACCCTTAACTCGGACTTATCTGTAAGACAGGAGTGACCGAATGTCCCATTCTCCCCAGCCTCCACGCCGACATTGGATGCAGATAAAACATAGTTTAGCAGACGCAGGTCTTCGTTCTTGTACAGGAGGTTGGTCGTTCTACTTCCCTACCCTTGCATCCACTCATCCTGAAGATAGGATCAGCGGGATAACCCATTCTCCTTAATGTCCAGACCAGCATTGAACCTAAGGGAACCATTGTTCCGAAAACGCTGATCCCTAGTTTTACACGAGGTCAATCGTTTTACTTCCCTATCCTTTAATCTGGCTCATCCTTAAGATAGGAATGGCGTCAAATATCCATTCCCCGCAACCTCCAGATGAACACTCTCATTCGCCAATCATCGCGATTACGGATCACCACTCTGTTGCCCGCATAGATGGATGCAAGTATATCCCCATTGTTGCGAAACCATGTCAGTGGATTATGCCTCTTAGAAAGACCAGCCTTCTACCCTCTCTCGCATTCTCGCAGTGCGCCAAGTTGTTGATTGGGAGGGCCTCGTGTTAGGTCTCTCTGAAGGTTCTCAGTCCCTTGATCTTGAGAACTTGCTGATACAAACTAAATAGCCTCATACTTAGAGCGACGTTCTTCGGACAGACCCATCTCACACGGCGCGGGAGGTACAGCCATGCAACGGGTTATGGATCCGATTATTTCAGTATGGACCATTCACGATACGAAGTATTTGAGGACTGATCATTTGGAAGCCGTAGAGACTCGGTACTTGAACAGGACCGCGACTGCGTTCCCGGAGATGCTGTCTAGCACCGTTTATGTCCGCCGACACTATTTCTGTTACTGGTTGAGTGCTAAGTTATTTATCACGTCGAAAGGCGCTTGATTTAATGGTAGGCGCCTTCTCGTGCCCTTGAGTTATTTGGAGGTGCTACCGTCCGACTGCCATCTGGGCGTCTCGTAGCCTTCCCTCCCACAATTGTGGGCGGTTGTATGGTTAAACATCTGAAGCGCGGCTTGCCACAGGGCACTGAGGCCCCCCTACCCTCCTTAATTCTCTTCTCTAGCACAATGTCTTCAGTCAGTGTCTATATGCTACCTTACAGATTGGCTGTATTGTACTCCAGACACTGATTCCTACCTTGTTCCGCACTCTCTCGGCGCGGTAAGGTCTCCCACTTACCAACTGGTGGTATTCATCTGTGCCCTTGTGTAGCCCAACAAAACCACAATGGATATCTGTACGTCCATCTGTTCTCGTTGCCGTCTCTGAACCGAGTTGAAAACTCTTCCACAGCAAACCGGTGGGAAATCAGTACATGTGACATGGCATCCAGCGAGCATTGCTCAACAGAGACGACAACTCTCAAGCCCCTGTTTGTCACCTGCGCAATTGCAGTATATGCCATATTCTACCTGCCACTCTTAATCTCTTGAAAGGATTCGCCTACTTTTGCACGGTCCGTGCTAGGCCATATTTTCTCCCCGTTCATGTGGCATAGCGCGGCGGTCATCAAGGTATGAGGTTGCCCTTTTTTGTTGCCCCTCCCCCCTCCCGCTGACCTGTGGCTGTTAGATGACCTATACCGCGACGAAGCACATCACAGACGTGACAAGCCCACCTGCGAAAACTATGATTCTGCATGTCCTTTGTTTTGACCTCTAATCTGAGATATTCCTGAACATTGTTTTCCCCATGTTAACCAGCGGTGTAAAAGGGCATAGGTCGAAGGGAAGGGGGCGAGGTGCCCTGCCGAGTGACGAGACAGTTGTGTTCAAGAAAGAGACTATATCTTGCTGGTCGGAATCATTGTTGAGCACGTTCCTGGATCCAACAGTTTTATATTTTCATTTCGTTATCATTGATCTGACCTTGCGGCTTTTGCACTCCGCCCAATAGCGCAGCATGTCATCCCTTACAGTGCATTTACAAGAAGACTTGTCGTATGAGCCGAGCGAGCTCTGTTTGTTCCGAATGGCACATGAATACCTAATCAACAGGATAGAGAGGAAACGCACCTCAAATCAATCACCCATCCTGGCGTATCTGTACCACTGGCCGGTCGCCTTCCTGATGTATATACCTAGCGGCATCGGCGACGAGCTGGGGGAACAGCAGCGGGTTGGAGGAATTGTCTGCGAACACGATTGCCGGTGCGATGGAATCCCCATCGTGTACGAACGTCAGCTCAGATTCGTCCATGCAGGGCAACTTGAAGCGGTTCATGCAATGCCAGGGAATGATGGAGAACAGTGCTTCCTGCTCCCCTTCCACCAGCGCTCGTACTGCTCAGGGGTGATTACTGAGTCCGGGCGGCGCTGGGCCGAGATGCGCGTCGTTGAATGATTTCATGCCCTCCTCCGTCAGCTTGGTTGCATATACCAGGTGACGGCGACGGCGACAGCAGGGGGGTTTATTGCTAATGTGCGACGAGGGAGGACCGGGAAGAGAGCGCCGGCTGCTCGCCTTCGCGGTGACCGCGACTTGCCTGACCTGTGGGCAGTTTCAGGGGCGAACGCGACCGCTTGGAAGAGACAGCCGGCGTGGAGTGCGCGCCGGTCCATGACATTGACATATTTGGTTGGGAATAAAAGCGCAATAGTCCCGAGACTATAAGGTCGTCAGGCCGCGCTGAAGTACAAAGGCCATGTGTTTGAAATCCCTCTCCGCGCCACAATCACCGTCGATTCGACGAGCCGGGACGTTTATCCAAAAAGACCATCGTGCAATAATGCAAGCAAATTCTACACAAACGCAGTCTGGCTGCCTTTGTCTTTAGACTAACTCACTGAACAGTACTATCAGGTCTGTGTGCTCACGTCACCTGCACTGACGCAGGGACGACTTCTGGATTTAACTCGATGAACATATGCTTATTCGCCTGTACATTGTTAAGATTAGGACCATATAATTCGATATTCGATATATACTATACAATCAAGAGACGAAGCTGAGATGAGAGAAATGGTGGTAAACTGTGAGATACGAAAGAGATTTCCACAGGGTACACTGGCAGATTGATACAGATGGAGTCGAACTGCGTGAGAAATTTAACCAGGAGATCGACTCCGGGACCGTCCGACGTGGCAGAATGGGCAATTTGTCGAGGACCAGGTGTAGGGCGTCACAGGAAGAGCCGAAAGCTACCATCAGGGGCGTCCCCCATCTAGTAGCTTGTGAGTGGTGCGAACTCTCCTCTCCGGAAGCGAAAAAAATCAACGATGTTGGTTTGGCGGTGGGGATGATCAGTCCCTAGTACCTCCTGGCTCAGAGCCTCTTGGTACTGCCTACAGCTGAGCGCCGCGTCGAACATCCTTGCAGAACTGTGACTAGTTGTACGGCGGTGCCCAAGGAAGTGCCAGCGCCGCTGCTGCCGATTGGATGAGGCGACCGAGAAGGTCGACTAACAATGGCCGCGGCTCCGAGTCAAGAGAGAACGCAGGATACGTGAACCATATAAATCGAGAGAAGAATAACCAGGAGGAAAGAGGTTTGATTTCCAAAATCTAACATCCGAGGTATGTCGAAGTGTTGTTGTGGCTTGCGGACCGTGAGCTAGTTGTCTTGATACTGGTAGGTGTCGCGAGAGTCGGTGGCGGCGGCAGACCTGGGGAATATGGACTCGACGAATTGAGTAGGGAGAGCTGCCACCTCGTATAGTCGGGTATATTTAGCAACTAGGCCGGTAGCTGAAATGAACATCAATACCAGTATCGGATGATAACCGACGCGGATTACTCACCGTATGAGCCATCCCGCCCCGTACGGCCTCCCGAACTAAATCATCACATCTTGAAAAAAATCGTCGTCGCGTGGGTTATCCCGCTTGAGTTGACGCTGACAACGGCGGCGAGCATGAGAACGGATTTGAGATTTCCGCTTGGCAGCCTTAGCAGAAGATTCGTGTGATTCGGAAGGAGTTGGCTAAGAGGTGTGGAAGTGAATAACTGCTATACGGAGAGAGAATAATGGCGTACCTCTTGACCATCCACCGTCTCCCCTTCAACCCTAGTGATACCCAACGCAAGACAGGGAGCACGGGACCTCAGCTTCATGATAGTGTATTGACGAGTCACACAATAGCGGATAAGCACTTGCCAGTGCTCTTGCGGCGGCGGTATATCGAGACGAGTCCAAGGGAGGTTGTAGAATATCGAAGCTAGGCGCCTGTAGACCGAACTCATGTTGCGTAGAATTGTCTCGATGAAGGCGTCATTGCCGGTAGGCATTTCAGTTGGTGCCCGACCAATGACAACGAGCGCGGATAGGGATGGGACCTGTTGACGTATGTAGTCCACATCCCGCTCGTTAACCGGCGATGGACGCGAAGTTTGCGAGACGTTGGAGAGTACACGGGACGCGTTCGGCGACGCGAGGCAGACGAACGTGTCGTGGGATTGGTAGACCGCAAGCTCCGAAGAAGAACGGTCGACAAACTCAGACTGGACCTGAGGCGCCGACAGGACGCAGACAAAGTAATCACGGTGTTCGTAAACAGCGAGCTCCGAAGATGGGCGGATAGCGAGTTCGTAGGACGGGCCAGAGATGATCTCCGGGGTAGAGGCGACCGGGACAGCCAAATCCAAAGAATGTTCAGGAACAGAGACATCATCAAGTAGTTCAAGTAGGCCGCTCATCGAGGCCCAGAGCTTGAGAGAGTAGTCACGGAAAGCCACAAGATGTTCGAGAGGGTATTCATCGAAACCGATAGAGGGCGCATAGACGACGAGGTCCGTAGTCATAACCGCGGCGGCAGTGCCGTCGCATAAATCTTGCTTGATATCGCGGGAATAGTACAGAGGGGTCGACAATAGGCCGGGGATAGTATAGTCAACGACGCTAAACAACGGCGAGACGGCAATGGAAGGCTGAGTGAACGGAACAGGCACGAACGAAGACTTGGGGAAGATGGCGAGAGAGATATGAGGCAGGAAGACCACGGTATCACTGGAGAAGAGGCTCAAGGCGGTGGGCAGGGACAGATGCAAGCCATTCAAGAGCGTCGAGAGTAGGGAGACCCCGCTCAAGACGTAGATGAGAACGTTGAAGAACATTGTATCGCTGGCAGCGCTAGAGCGTCGATGTTCGAGGTCAAGATGCTGGAGAGCGAAAACGGGAGAGAGACGGGTTTATATACTCACAGTAGTGCCCTTTCACAACACCAACCCTTTCACGTCGAGGTGAAAAGGTTGGCATTGTGAAAGGGCTCGGACGCGAAGGCATTGACACATTGAGCGTGCCGAGTGACTACGAGCGAGGGTCAACCACTTCACGTGTGAAGCGGCCGAAACAACGACGCTCTCGCATCGTCTCTCCAGCACTTACGGTAGGAACACTGCAGTTCAGGGAAGCATTTTGGGACGAAGAGCATCCATGCTACTGAGGCCAAGCGATGTTGCCGCTAAGCGACAGAGGGCTTCAGCTGAACCCCACTTCAGGGATTGAGACAATGACGCGCCATACCTCCAATTTTGCTCCGACGTAATTAGGAGCTCGAGCACGCTGGAGGGAGGGGGGGCTCCGATGCCCAAATCGGGCACTGCACACCTTCACTATGCACGATGTGAAAGCGACCTGTTGAACACGAAGCCCTTGCGGGGGGTGAGGGCGATATTGCATTCCTTCAATTGACGTTACCAATGGTACTGCACTGCATCGTTCATGAGTCCCCGACGAGTTGACGCTCGTCTTGCTGCTATCAGCCTGAGCACTACTGAGAACAGGTTTGGAAACATCTAATAATGACCATTGGTTAGACATGTACTCGCTCACCGTGGACACGGCGGTGTTGCGACCTTGCGACCTGCTTCCGATAAGAAGTCGACATGGGAGTAATGCGTGCGGCGGGGAGGGGAACGGGTTGCAGCGGACTGCTCCGACGTCCGAGTCAGCCACTTCACTTCTTCTTCGTGAGCGTAAGTAAGTGAAGCGGCTGAGTGAACACGGTTTGTACAAGACAAGTGCCAGCAACTTTGCCTTCTTATGAGGTGTCGTAGTAGCTTTGGGTATTGTCCATGTCAACTTGTAGAGCAATGGTGGCAGGTCCGAGTCTGGTGCCCTCCAAATTTATTTAATGTTCGGCGTGGGACAAGTGAACAGACGCTACCGAAGCCCATGTAGCTGCAACTCATTGCGCTTGATACAGCTGATTGCAGAACGTATAATATTCGAGGTTCGTGTGTCGAATGAGTGGGAGGAAGGACGTTGTGGTCTCCGGAAGCCTGAGGAGCTGAGCAACCACCTCTTCCCAGAATTCAGCCCGACCAAAGTTATTGATGCTCTCCGGATATCCTCGCAAATCCTTGAGCAAGAGTGGCTGGTCAACGAAGGGGTCTCCCAATAGTATCAGGACTGTTCTCCCTGTAATATTAGGCATGTCTCCAAGCCTTCATAATTAGAATGAATATCACCCTATTGCTCGTCAACTAAGTCTTATTTAAGAGTATCATGCCCATATCACCCTGCCTTTCGCTCGTCTCGAGCATCATTCGCAGGAGAAACCTTCCTTTGTAGGCAGCAGCCGCCACGACGAAGGCGTGCACATAGCGTCATCTTCGCGAATCGAATACGGCATTGTCCTTTATAAACCATTCCACCAGAGTGGGTGCTCAAAGTGCTAAAGCAGATGCATTAGTCATTGGCGTTGACGAACGACTAACCGATGGTGAGCCCATGTCACCTCCTACACACTTCGGTTACCGTTTATGAACGTCCTCGAAGCCTCGAACTCCTCGTTGCTCACAAACCTTGTCTTGCTGAATGGTGTCAATGGTAGTCTGACCAATCCGTTATTGATAGCAGCGTACCCATGGCTTGGCTTGGTCACGTAGATTTCGTATATAATGCAGCTCAGAACCGCTCAACACTCCCAACAAAGCGGATTTACACCTGAACACCCCTCAAAGGTCTCATAAGCGATCCCATGTCCGAATACAAGAACTTCGCTGTCGCTGGCGCTGGCAATCTCGGCCGATTTATCATCGAAGAGCTGCTCAAGCTGCAGGCTACCGGAAAGGTTGCCTCAGTCTCCGTCCTGACCCGGGTAAGCAGAGATGCCCGACTCACTGAAACTCTCAATGTCAATTGATCTCGGGCAATCAGAGCAGCGACAGTGATGCTCACGCCGACCTTGCTAAACAAGGCGCCAAGTTCGTCACAGTCGATTACACCTCGGCCTCGACGCTCTCTTCCGCCCTTTCCGGTGTGGACGTCGTCATTTCAACCGTGGGCGGCGCCGCGCTCGGTGAGCAGCAGACTGCTCTTGCGCAGGCTGCGAAGGAGTCTGGCGTGAAGCTCTTCGTCCCCTCGGAGTTCGGCAACCCTACAGACGGCATCACTTCGGGCGTCCTGGGCGTGAAGAATGCACTTCACCGCAAGTTGGAGGAGATCAAGCTTCCGTACGCCCTCTTCTACACGGGACCGTTTGGGGATTGGATCTTGTCTCCGTGCGTCGCTTTTCAGGGCCAACACCATCCGTTGCCGCATTGACAGTATGATTGCAGGTTCTTCGGTTGGGATTTCGCTAATGGTAAAGTGAACATCCTGGGAGAGGGCAACTCCAAGATCTCCTTTACGACCCGAAGAGATATCGCCAGATTTGTCGCGTACGTGACGACGCATCTATCCCCCGAACAGCTGCACTGGAAGACTTTCCGCATCGAGGGAGACCGGAAGGTAAAGCCATTGTTTCCTGCCAGAACGATCGAAGCCTGACGCACCATCATCACAGACGTTGAACGAGCTGGCAGACCTGTACCAGTCCAGAACCGGGAAGAAGCTGGAAGTGACACACAAATCCCGCGCCGACTTGCAAGCTGCTGTGAAAGCGAATCCTCAGGATTTCATCTCGTGGTTATCGCTGGAGTGGGACGAAGGGCGCGGTATCGTGGGGAAGGATGACGAGCTGAACAATAACCTATTCCCTGACTTCAATCCGACGGCAGTCATCGACGCAGTTCTCTCGCCTGAGCAGAAATAGTTGAGTCACTTCTGTAGTACTAGTAGTACGCACTACTCTCGCTACCGTAGGTAGTATCTCTTAGACTCCCGGACGTTAGCAGGTTTCCTGCGATCGTTCCAAGCTCTTAGGGGGTGGTAATTGCGGCAGTTCTTTACTATATATGGCTGAAGTCCGCCACAAACAAGTACAAATTCGACTCACTGTGGCGAAGGTAACCACAAAGACCAAGCGCCAGCTCTAAGTTCCTACCATTCGCAGATCAAGCCGATATATGCCGGAGGCGTGTAGGCTGGCAGATCTACCCATGAGGCGGTCATCAGACCTCTTACAGCGGGCATTTTGGACAGTGTTCATACAACGGGGTGCAAACTTGAGGCAATTCTGACTTCACAAACCATTTTTAATGTATATAATGCATATACAGACCAACCTGCTAAGCTCCTGGTAGCATACTTCTCTAGATTTCGGAGTTCTGTAAAAAATCTGACTTTTACAGAATCCCCCCAATGATAGTAGGGGTGCTCAAAAATTGATCGTTCACATTCGATGGTTGTGCAGCAATCCCAGAATGGCCAGTACATTTCATCAAAGACGAACGACTGACCAAAATTATTCAATGCACACTCACAGCGGGCAAGCACCACTGTCCTGCCACTGGACATTCATCATGCATGAAATAGGTGGGAGAAGACTTTCCTTGCATGCTCTGAAGTGGGACTTGGCAGAGACATAAAGAATGAGAGAACAGTGCCAATCAAATGTCCCCTGACTTTTAGAGGGCATAGTAAATGTCCCACAGACCTGCCTTTGTTCATTCAAAGGACATTCTCCATGTCCAGGTCATGGTCCATCAAAGACCATTCTAGGAAAGTGTTCTCCCAACTGGGGCATGTTCGTAGCATGCTCGCTGGCGGGACATCGGTTTCTGCCTGCAGTGACTGATTGTTCGCATTCGGTTGTGTGTAGTATTGAATCAGAGTTTAAGTAAACCATTAGCTCGAGATATGATATGAAGTTCCACGATCAGAGGAGTTTGAACTGCAACAGCAATCACAGCAAAGCCATAGTTCATTGAGTTCGTCCTCTGTGAGTGACGGATTTGGCGGTCAGTCCACTTTAGGATTGCTGCACAATGATCGAATGCAAGCGATCAATTTCGAGCACCCCTAGTATATCTACCAGGAGCTCCCTGAACAAGCATTTCCTTAGGTGGCTTGACTGTGCCCCCATGCAAACACATACAAATATACCATATTGAGAAAGATGTCATGTGATGCTGGCATATGCGGGCTTCCCTCCGGGAGCCTGTCCGACACCCAGAGTAACCAGTAGGGACAAAGAGGTCCATATAGATGAAGCAAATAAAAATTGTCTTCAATTCTATAGACATGAAATACATATATATGACAAAAGACACTATACAAAAAGGTGGAGTGAAGGCAGGTCATAAACCCTAACCCTACCTAAAAGGTATGGCAAAAGTGACAATTGGGGAATCGAATGGCAGACATGAAGCATTAGAGTGTGCGGTCGAATCCCTCTTAACCCATGGCTCCCATAACCCATAGTTATTGGTTTCCACTGAGTTGGTAGATAGTAAATAACCACTAATAACCTATAACTCTCTAATAACCCTTAACCCATACCTTTTTGAGTGGTCAAAACCCATAATTTGAGCTATTTTTAGCCCGATCAGACACATTTGTGTACTCATTTCGGAGCCATTTTGTATTATTTTGACCATGTTTGACCAGGATCTCACAGGATTGGACTGAAAACAATGTTCGCATGCTGCTATATACCCACATGTAGCATGATAGAAAATCTGGAGTATGCCAGGCAGATCCTCAGTTGCCATGCTCCCTGTGAGTGTCACGATAGGTCACACTCCAGTAACCCATATCCCCTCAAAACCCATAACTTTGGGGTTCCACCGACCACTATGGGTTAAGGGAGATTTGACTGTATTCACAACCACCCAAACAGCTGCCCACTAAGTTACTTAGATGATGAGTAAATATAACAGCACTAGACTGGGCCCTCAAAGTAAACTGAGGGATGGGAGATCCTCCTGCTTTTATAAGTTTTGGCAGGGAGAAATAAGGTTTCCAGATTGCATAGTAAATGAGACATGTACTCAAGGGCATTGCATCAGTCACATGCATCAACAATGCGGTGCCAGTGTAGCTGAGGATTGATGAAGAGTTATGGAGGCAGCAGCACACACAGTGCACCCTACACAACTGACCTGTATTGAGTGGATGCTGTAGCTACTGGTAAAGCTCGTATGAACGACCCTTGTCATTAGGCAGCAGAGCTGCAGGGTTTATATACACTGTGGCCCATAGGCTGACTAAGCTATGTGGAATATCTGTAGTCCTACTGAGCTCCACCTATGATGTCACTGACCCACATGAGCTCCATGCCCTTGTACAATAATGCAATATACCAGAATGTTCCAGAGAGTTCTGGTACGTTGTAGAACCTGGCAGCTAAGTCAGCGCCTAGTTCAACACTCCCCCTCACTAAGTGCCACGGGTAATCGCGCACGCAAGCGTTGGGCTGACTTAGATTACTTGTAGAACCTAAGTCCAAGTTGCGCTCTGAAGCGCAGGAATTTGACATGTCCTAAGTTCTTAGTGAACATGTCTGCAGGGTTATTCTCGCCGTCGATGTAGAATACTTCAACTTTCTTCTGCTCGACGACTTCCCTGATATAGTGATAGCGAATGTCAATATGTTTAGACCTTCGCTCAGTGACAGGATTAGATGCAAGGAATATAGATCCTTGGTTGTCACCACAAATAGGAATGGGGCTGAGTTGGTAGCCTAACTCATCAAAGAGTTGTCTAACCCATACACATTGGCGGCTACAATCACTGAGCGCCATGTACTCGGCTTCAGTGGAGGATAGTGCAACAGTTTTCTGCGCTCTTGACTGCCAACTGAATATGCCATTGGCTAATTTTAGGAAGTAACCAGTTTGGGACCTTCTGGTACTGGGGTCTGATGCCCAGTCCGAATCAGTGCACACAGTAATACCAAGTCCACTAGCACCATCAAAAGCTAGTGTGTAATTACGAGTCCCGATTAGATAGCGGCAGATATACAGCGCTTTGTCTAAATGGGCTTGGGATGGATTAGCAGCAAATTGCGCTAACTTGGTAACTGCATAGCTGATATCCAGTCGAGTTCCAAGCATGATGTAGAGCAAGGAACCGATCACAGTTTGGAACCGGCTACGAAGAGTAGGATTGACCGGGCCATTGTGAGGCTCAGGTCGATAGCCTGCAGGGAGAGGAGTTGGCGCAGATTTTGCATTCTGCATGCCGCAATGCTGCAGCACTTTATCAAGGTAGGTGATCTGATCGAGATGAATCTCTCGGCCTTGCCTTGTAATGCGCATGCGTAGGAATTCCTTGACATCACCAAGGTCCCTGCATTCCCACTTCTTCATGAATTGTGACTTAACATCTGTCACGAGAGACTTGTCCTTGCCAAAGAACAAGGCATCATCAACATAGACGACAATAATTACCATGCGGGCATCCTTCTCCTTAAATAAGAAGATGCCAGCATCGGTAGTTAGACGTTTGCAGCCTAATTTCTCCAAAGACTCAGCAAGTGTGCGCCACCAGGCAAGCCCCACTTGCTTAAGTCCGTAGAGTGCACGGCGCAGTCTACAAACCTTGTGCTTCTGGCCTTTTACAGTGAAGCCTTCAGGTTGTTCCATATAAATTTCCTCATCCAGTTTGCCATAGAGATAGGCATTGCGCACATCAAGTCCAGATATGTGCCAATCCTCAAGCGCTGCTAGCGCGAGCATAAGGCGCACTGTCTCATAGCGCACAACTGGTGAGAATATTTGGTTGAAGTCTATACCTTCAACCTGCGAGAAGCCTTTAGCGACTAATCTCGCTTTACGATGTCCATCTGATTTGACGTCAAATACCCAGCGACATTTTATGACTTTACGCCCTTTAGGGCATTCAACCAAGTCGAAGACTCTGCGCCGACGAAGTGCATCCAATTCTTCATGGCAAGCAGCTCTCCATTCCTTCTGCTTTTCTGGTGGTAAGTGAAGGATATCGCGGTACGTCCATTCTCTGACATTGGACGCGTCTGGATCATCTGCCTCAGGCGAAATAGCCTTCAGAAGCAGGTAATTAATCAAAGGTACACCCCCTTCCCGGCATAGCTGTGCCAGAAGTAACTCATCAGCGTCTTGGTCGGACCGCTGGTCAGAGGCTTCAGGAGCGATTGGCTCATGCGAAGCACCCGGGGGTTGAGCAGGAGGGTTGTGAGGTGGAGGGGCAGAGCTAGGTCCAGGAACCTGTTGCTTCTGCTTGGACTGGCGAGGTATGCGAGACGTCTTAGGTTTTTCGCCAACTAAATCCTTCCACTTCTTGTCTGACTCAATCTCGCGATAGGTTTCTCTGGGATTCCCCGATTCACCGTAGATGTTACCCGGGCGAGTTACTGGTTTCCTTTCTCTCACCGGTCTCCGCGGCTCATCTTGTGGCGCAGGATCCCCCGGAGGTGGAGAAGGCGGGTTCTCAGGCTCTCGCGCCTGAGGCTGCGCAGCTTCGTGGTCATGATCCTGGCCTGGCCCCTTTTGGGATTTAGGAGGAGGATGGGAGTCTGGCTCATCGTCATCGGTGATCCAGTCATCATCAGAATTTTCTGGTTGACTGTCAGCTGGTTTAGGCGCACTTTGCAGCCTAGTGCTTGCCCGTCGCTTTGTATTAGGGCATTTAGGGAACATAGCTTCATCAAACAGCGCAGTAGGCTGAGTGACTATACTATTATTGGCGCGCATGAACTTGAAACCATGGCCGCCATCAGCGACACCAATGTAAGTCATCAGCTCAGCTTTAGGCGATAACTTATTGGGTCTAGTTTCCTTTGGCAGGTAGACGTACGCTCCGCATCCAAAGACACGTAAGTGCTTGATGTCGGGAGCTTCCTTGTTCAGGACCTCATAAGGAGTCTGCCATTTATGGCGCTTCAAAGGGGTC